AGGAATGCTAGACTAGCTTCCAGACCATTCCCATATAGAAAAAAACACCAAAGCAAACACTCGAAACACCTTCAACTAGAAATGGAGCTGGTGAGAGGAGGGGCAAGGCAGCTGCAGAGCTGCCAGCAGGTACAGTACAGAGATCAAGCTCAAAGATGCTTCCTCCAGCATACAGATATTTTAGAGTCTGGTCAAAAGTACCAATCCACACGAACAAACTTAACATAGAAGTAGCACAGCTGAACCTGCAAACTAAACTGAGGTTAAAAAAAAAAATAAAAAAATTACCTTAATCATTGCAATTCCTGGGGAAACGGTGGTGGCGATGGGGGTGCTTCTATGCTGCCCTCCCCTAGCCTGGGCCTGCTGTGCTTTCTCCTTGACCCAGGAAAAACCTTCTTAGTTTTCCTCACAGAGATCATCATCGTGCTGGTGGGCAGGTAAGGACGTTTCACACACTCAAAGCAGCAAGATTGTAACAGCAGGAGAGGACAAGTCAACAGTAACATCCACCTGTAAATGCTTTTAACCAGGGTCTGCTTCCTGCTGGTGCTGCTCGAGGGGCTGGCGAAGCTCTCCCGGAGTCGGGGTTTCTCCAGCAGCAGCCAGATGTGCGGGCAGAGGGAGCTGAGCAGGCGACAGCAACAATGGCTGAAGGAAGGTCAAAGCAGCAGGATGGGATTAAGGCAAAGAAGATTATTCTGGTCCTAAACCACCCCTTGGCTACTGCATGAAGAGCATCTCTGAAGGGGATTTTACCGAATGGCCCTAGGAAATATTAGCTTAAGTGGTAAGAGAAAACCACTTTGAAAACTGCTTTGACAGGAACTGCTCAAAGAATTTAGAGTCTGCCATGGGCCAGATTAGAGCATCGAGATTGCTCATGCAGAAAAAAGGACCTTCAGCAGAGCTGCTGCAGAGCCCCTGACAAGCAAAAAGGTGACGTTCTAACAGAGCTCTTAGTTACAGGAATCCCGCCTCCCCACTGCCTAACCCATTTCTTACCAAATTAAACCATCTCCCTTTTCAGTCCCGCCCTGGCAGCACGAGAGGGCTGGGCAGCACCTTTTGCCCTCTCTGCTCTTGCAGAACTTGCGCCCAAGCTGGTGTTTACCTGGGAGGCTCCCGGGCCTTAGCCCAGGCCCTTGGAAGCCCTCTGGATTTCAAGGAGAGGGAATTTCCCCAAAGGTTTGCTCTGTTTCGGCTGTGCCGAGGAATGCTGGCAGGTGAGCGGGGGGTCTGAGCCAGGCCCAAGGCATTTCAAGCCTGCCCGAGCACAGCGGCCGTCAGCGCGCGGGCTAATCTACCGGGAAGAGCTCCCTCATTTATCTTCATTACTGCTCCACCTACCATCAATTTACCACAGGCTTTAAAAAAAATGCTGCCCCCCTCGGCAATCAATCCAAGCCTCCCTCTCAGAGCCGGACACGCTCCGTGGGCTGGGAGGGAGCCGGTGCCTGGGGACCCGAGGTCAGCCGTCAATAAACATTTCTTCCTCTCCAGAGGACCCCCGGGAGGTGTCTTCCAGCCGAAATGCTGCTCCGTAGCAGATCTGTAGGCCCACCTGGTGAATGACACCTTAATCGACAGCTGCTGCCAAAATACACCTTCCCTTTTAACGCACGTGTTCAACATTTTAAAACAAAGCTCCCAAGGACAGGTTGCCTTGGGCATTTGCTGGCTTCCCCTCTTCCCGTACCACCACAGAGATGCTAAAAACGGTGCCTTCAGCACTTTGCAGAATCACCACGGGCAACCCGCCCTCGCCCGGCCACGTCCACAGGCACGACGGGGCTCTCTGCCCCACTGCCCTCCCCTGAGCAGTAAATCGGAGGAGCAGACAGGTACCAGTACCAGAGAAGCTCCTGGAGGGTGGTCATGGAGCCAGCCTGACGAGCACAAGTACCCCCAGCAGAAGAGGTGAGCACTTCCTCGGCAAAGGGCTACTCAAAACTGCCCTCGCTCCTTGTTTATCTCAGGGGAACTCAGGGGAAGCACAATGCCTGGGAAGCAAATACACCAACTAGCTACACCTAACCCCAGTGCTCAGGCAAGACGATGTCCCATTGCGGGCTGGAGGGAATTCAGACTGATCTAAGTCTTCCCGCAGCCGAGCCCTGCCGAAGCTCCCCTCCAGCACCCTCATCCTCAGCAAGCAGATGTTTTCCATCTCCCAGCGTTTATGAAGGCTGCAGTCTCGTCAGGGAACACTCAGAAGCCCCTCTTAAGTAATCTGCCTAGAATGTGCAGGGAGCCTTCTATGCAAGATCATCTTCTAATTATCCTCCAGTCTAAAGCACGTCTGGACTCAAGGACAAGAAGCAGAATTAATTGCTTAACGAGCTTCTGAATAAATTACGTTCTCTGAAGAAGCTGTACAGGACACCCCGGAGGCAGCGGAAGGCACTGGAAACACGGGATCCACATGAATTCAGGCTTTTCTCTACTAAAACGCGTGTGAGTGAGCGCGGGCCTTAGCCCAGGTGACACCACGATTTTTCTGGCTGGATGTAGTGACGAGATCGATGGAGTTTTGGAGCCCCAGCACCGCAGAGCGTACGCACTGCTCAGCTACACCCCAGCCCCAAACCCTCCTTGCTGTTCACAGCACGGTCACGCGTGCGGCGTGTGCCTGCGCCCACAACAGGTCCCCTGCTGTCACAGGCCCAGCCCTCGGGGACACATTTACTGGGGCACTTTGACTCACGTTTGCATAACGTGTCAGATCTGTGTGGGAGCTTTTGCATCCCTTATTCCTGAGGCTGAGTCACGGAGGGCTGCTCCGGCGAGCGGCGGGGGGTTACTGCTCTGGCATCTCAGCTGCTGAGTCAAAGCGGGAGAATGCAAGAGTCACCTACTGCGTCACGCTGGTTTGTAACCGAAGGTAGCCTACAGCCAAATTAGAGAAGAAATCGAGAGGTTCTTAACAGAAGGGCCTGAGCTTATGAGGCCACGGTATGATTGCACAATTCAGTGCACCCAGAGCAAAGGGAAAATGTCATTGCCCAGAAATAACCACAGCATGAAGAGCCCCGACGGAGACACACACTCATCGCTGTGGATGCCCCCTTCCCGACGCAGCAAGTGTGGGTGTGTTATCCAGCTTTCCCCACTGACCAGACTCTCCGAAGGGCCTACCAAAAAAGCACAATACAATCGAAGCTGGAAATGAGGAAAATTCCAAGCACATGAGCAGCATCCCTGACCACTTGTCTTCTTCCTGCAGTGCTAAGGGCTGGGGTGCGCAGAGCACACCCTGCCTCGGGGGCTCAGGAAAGGGAGGAGGGAGCCAGGAGACTAGAGAGAGCTGGGAACTGAAGCTGCCTTTCCTCCCTGTCCACCTGTAATAGAAGTTGGGCGAGTTCAGACCACAGAATGCTGTATGCAGAAGCCCACCCTGATTGCTGCTGTCACTGTGACCTGATGTTGAGAGATTTTTGACCCATAGGCAGTAGCTCACATGTCACCTGTGCAGCCTTAACTGCAGAAGAGAGAGGGGAGGAGTGGGTCTGTCCTTTTTAACAGCAGAACAGGGCTACTCAGAGCCTGGTGGAGTGTGAAGCCCATCTGCTCTCTCTGCCCCCGCTACCAATCCTGTCCTCTGCTACGAACACGGCACCAGCGCACATCTGCTCCGGCCTCCACAGCTGGTCCCGTTCCGAAACCTCAGCTCAGCCTCACGCGGCTCCCAACCCCACACCCCATAGATTAGTGGTCTGGGAGGCACATCTCCCCTCGGCGTGTCATCTCTGGGCAGGGGGAAGAGCGAGATAAATTTATGTCTGTATGAGCCCCGTACGTACATCTCCTCCTCTCCAGGGGAGTTTGCTCTCCTCTTTAACCTCTGCAGCCTGCTGGCACTGGAGGCGGATGATGCAGTTTGTAGAGGTGCAGGCACTTCGCTCTCCCCCTCCCCCTGGAATCTTCCTCTCACTTGTGGTCCTTGGGATTCACCCAATGTTTCTCAGAAAAAAAGAGGACCTCAAGACAAGTATGCATTTAATAAGCAGTGAGACAAATAAGCTCCAGTTATCCCAGCAGAATTACAACACCAGAGAACAATTTTCTGCATTCCTCCGAAGGCCTGAAGGAACCCAATTGCCTGCTCTCAGCCTAAATAGGTACCAGACACCAAGTGCTCCATAAGCAAACAGAGCCCCCAAAGTGCAAAAATGAAATAAGTAAAAAGCTTCACATTACATATAAACCAGCCGTTTGCACCTTGTTATTAATGGTCTTGACTACGACCTTTAAACCCCGCCTTGCTCAGAGTCATGGAGCTACGAGCCTTGGCACCCTCGCAACAATTCCAGGACAAGGAGCAGGGAATAAACACGCCCGGGCAGCGCCGGAGGAGATGCGGGAAGGAACTGGCCAGTGACAAACCCGGCCCGGGCACCGCCCCGGTGCAGCAGCCAGGGCTCCCAGGTGACCATCTCCAGCTCGAACTCGTCAGCACACCCTCGGTGACCGGGGCTTCTGACAGCAGGAAAGCTCCTGGACGTGACATCAAATGGCCAGTAGCCCTGAGCCATGGACTTCAAGGACTTTAAACAGAACCAGCCAATGTTAGAAAGCTGTTTCAGTAACAAATCGTGCTTACGTGCTCTCTCCAGATGCGTATCCGTCCTGAACCACAAAGATATTTTAGACACTTCTCATTAAAATCAGTGGTAAGGTAAGGCCAATTCACAGAATTCAGCAGCCCGACTGCCTCACAAACCAGCATCTCCTCCTTTCCCGTCCTTTTTGGAGATTACTTCAGGAACAGTAAGAGGTTGGCAGGGAGAGATGCAGCATTCCTCTTCCTGGACATTCTGATCAAAAGCTACCCTGCCATGACATGGTGAGACACTGCAAGAAACGAGATCACCCCAACAATCCCACCTGAAACTCCAATCCTGCCTAAACAAATTAAAGACCATCTCATTACCCTGCTTTACAAATAAACCTATTGGCATCGGGTGCTTAAATATATATAAAATAAATACATATATAAACATATATACATGCACACACGCAACTTCACTGCACATGGACCCTCCTGGTACCAGCACAGCTCGGACCGTGTGGCGAGTCCCTGCTCCCAAGTGGCAAAGAGTGTTCCTATAGCCCCAGCACTCCTGCCAGGAAACCCTCCAGAGAGCTCCTCCTTCCGCAAGAATTACTGGCACTCCTAGAGCGACAGGAAGGTTTTCATTACACCGCCTGCTGCCAGCTCTCCTTTCAGCACAAGCCCAGCCCCTTTCTGTTACTGCTATGTCAGGGGAGGACAGTGAGAGAAAGCAGCTCTTGGGATGATACATGGGAGGCAGCGCTTCATTTATAACCCCACACAAACGCTGGAAAAGGTTCAACTTTAAAAAGCATTAGGTTGGTTACCTTACGGGCCCCTGCGGACCGAGAAGTGAAATTACATGAGCACAACAGATCTATTAATCACCACGGTGATTCCACGGCGAGAGGAGCCCCAGTGACACGCGTTCGACTGGACAGAAAGCTGAGGAAATTACCTACTAGTAGTCAAGCAACTCGAAAAAAATTTGGTACTACCTTTCTGTAGAGCTCCCCTCTTGACTCCTCAATGAATTCAAGTATTTAACTTGGATTAAAGCCCAGCCAATAGAACACACAGCGGAGAGTAACACCAGCATTCCCACCTGAACACGGGTGCTTCCTCCCAGCCAGAGCTACAAACCTGCTACACTGACACGAGCTGCACGGGTGACCCTGATCCACAGCGCTCTGGTTACAAGGTAAAGAAGGATTTGGGCGGGATTAAAAAAAAAAAAAAAAAAGATCAGTCTTCTCTGTCAAGACAGATTATAGGTCAACTCAAACTGACCTGTAATTGATTGATTTAGGTATTATTTCAGAGAACGCAGTAGGCCACAGCAAGCTTCTTCCATCCAGGATTCAGAAACTAGAATAATTTACACCACCTTTGGAAGAAGCCATCAGCATCACAGCTTACACCAACCCTTCACAAACATCAGCGAAGACTAAACACGCACAGTCTTCCCGGTTATCATGGGTAAGTGTATCTGTAAAATATAAGATGATGGACAGCTTTTTATGTGCTCAGAATTCACATTTATCCACAGGCCCGTACTATTTTTATCACTTTCAAGAAGCCTTTCCTAACATGACTCTGCTTCCTCACTACTGAGCAGCCGACCTGAACGTGAAAAAGGAGGGAGTGGAAGTAAAAGCAGGGAGTGGAAATGGAGGTCACACCGATTACCTCCAGCCACTTGGCGGTCACGGCCATCTTTTCACCTCTGCAGTAAACAAACCCTCGCGGCTGGTCCGTAGGCGAAGCAATTCCTTGGAAGAGCGCTCCACATCTCACGTCCTCTTACCAACAGGGACAGCACTCGGGACTGACACTGGAAAGCTCAGGTCTCCCAAAAAGACTCCCATGCAGACCTCACAACCACTTTTGGCAGTTTCAGGAACCATCCCATTCTTCAAGGCAAAGAAGTTTGAAAGACAAAAGATGCACAATTGAATCTAAAGAAATTACGGTATGAAATAAAGGAGTTTACACCACCAATTCCTTGCGAAACGCAAGCTTATGCGCACTACAATCAATATGAAACAGGTGCTTAAGAAGTCAACAAGATTCAATGTGTAAAGAAGCAACCTTTTAATAAAGAAAGCAGAACCATACTTTGCTGTTAACAAATATTTTGAAAAAGCCTTATAAAATCAAATCTAAGCCAATTATCTGGTGCATCTGCAGCTGAGAAGGAAAGATCAACACTCCAAGCACCTGCTCAGTTTGTGTCCTCCCCTTTCTTGCACAGGAAGTATCGGCTTCCAGTTGTACAAGCGATTAAGGGAACAACACGGTATTGCTGGACAAAACCTGTTTTCTTAGATGACTACAGACTAAGGCCAAAGAAGAAATTCATACACTAAGCACCATGGCCAACATGGAAGCCTGTCAAAAGATCCCAGTTTGAACAGCACAGCTTTCTTCCCGTGTCTGAGAGTCAGCTCCAGAGGACGCAGTCGCGCTGGAGTCGGCTGATGCCAGATACTGGGCAGCAGAAGGACGTCGATCTTTTCCATCATGAAGGGTGAAAGAAGAGTCCCAGAGCACTGGAAGAAACAGAACACAACAACAAATTAGCTCAGTTTCAAACCCAACGTGCTTTTACAGGCTCAGGGTGTGAACAAACCACCACCCTGTAGCTTTCCCTCAAGGCAACAGAGCCACAGTCCCCTCAACGCTGATGTCACAAAATAGGCTCAGAGTAAACAGCAAATATTAGCCAAGATACAAAAAGTAGAATGAACCCTCTGGGAGCCAGATGCCCAGCCTTGAACACTCACCCCTGCTGTGGTCCACTCAGCCGGACGCCAGGACGCTGGGAGCACTCACAGGCCACAGCACCCGCAGCACCTAGGCAGGGGCAGAGGGAGAGGGGTCAGCCCGGAGCCCGTCCCGCCACAGCCCCCGGAACCCACCCTGGCGCCGGCCAGCGGCCCTTCCTGCATCAATTATGGGTCGTCGACTCAGACGTGTGAAAACCGAATAGACCATGCACCGGGAGCGGCCCCTGCTCCCAGATAGGGTCCACATTCCAGATGCCATCCAACCAGCTCCAGAAACAAAGGTCAGGCTAAAGCAAAGGGTACAGACACCCCGCACCTTCCCAACCCAGCCCCCAGGGACCCCGCCGGGACGTGCGCTATCCTCGCACAAGCCCTCTTTTCACGAGGCAGCGAGGGCAGGACTCATTTCCTTTGAGGGTTTTACTTGGGCCCTCCTGGATTCTATCATAACCTCAAATATTACATTAAAAAGGCTTTTAGAACACAACATTCGCAGCAGCGCAGGAGCTTGTCCTTGCAGCCAGCTTCTCCCCTGCCTGCCTGCGTGTGGCACCTTCCCATTAAGTGCAGGAGTTAAGATGTAGATTAGCGAGGCAAGAAACCTTTGCCCTTGGCATCGACACTCAGCTGTGACAGGAAACCTCGGGCTTTTTTTTTGCTCCGAAGTGTAGAACCACTCATTGCGCATTGGCAGGGAAGTGCACATCTCCAAACTATACACATTTTCCCTTAGATAAGCAAAAGACTCAAGTGTTTATAAATACAAAAAGTTCAGCAGCTGGCTAAAAAGTTAATTCTCCAGTCTCACTTAATGAGCTTTGGGGAAAATGGTAGGGGGATTTGTTCAGAGAGCAAAGCAGAGTGTCACAGAGAGCAGGACTCGCCCCACGGGGCTCTGGTCAGTCCTGGTCTGTGTCTCTAGACGGCTGCTGTCGACGCAATGGCGAGGAATCCTCTAACCGGGAGCTACGGAACGACCAGGATGAGAAGTGTTTTCTCCCAATCTTGCAGTCACAAGAACTAGGCAATTTTTAATTTCAGTCCCATGACTTCTTTTTTTTTGTTGTGCAAATATCAAGCGATCCATATTAAAAACACTCTGGAACATGGATTGTCTTAGGATTTTGTCCAATTCCCTGAACGAGGAAGTTGTTTTCAGCAGGAACACTGCTGGAATATTCTTTCAATATTTTAATGTTAACTAATACTGCACTATTCCGATAGCGTAAGGTTCAGACTTAAAAAATGGGGCTCTTTTGCTTGGAAGGTAAGCATGTAGTTGTTTTCAGGACTATTTACAGCGCCTGCTGTCACGCTGCATCTCTGGTTTTCCTGAAGGCAGACTTGTTGGGGTCGTTGTAAGTTATTACAGAAGGAATTGTACAACATCGCTTCTGCAAGATGAGATAGAGCTACCCAGTTCTCCATCTGTGCAATTATTAAAAAATTAAAAATTCCTACCGAGTGGAAAAATAATCAGACCCTTTTGTCTGCAGTTTCATCAGAAATTATTTTACGCATCGAGCGTTCTTCAGCTCGCTCAGTGAACTGTCGAGATGCCATCCCTTTTGCGTCCCTTCTGCCCCTCACTGAGACAGTTCTGAACAGCAAGTGCCTGGACACGGAGCTGTCTGAGGATCAAGAGTGGGGCGATCCTCCGTGAGATCAGAAATCCTGCTGGAGTCAACAGCAAGGCTGAGCTTTTGCCCGCCAAGAGCACCGTCCCGGCCGGCACTCGCTCGCCTGGAGCAGCTCTTTGTGAAAGGGCATTACAAGACGCCCACAGACCCCCAACCCCGCC